GTCTGAAATATTTTCAAGAGACCTTTGGCGCTTGAATTCTTCCAACTGTAACTCCAGTCTCCGGATAGATGCTTGAGTGGATTTCATAAATTCTTCAAGGACGGAATTCAAATAACATTCTTGAACAGTGGGCTCTCGTGGCGTGTTGGTGTATGTGTTCCAATAACCGCCGTTGGTGTTATCTATGAAATTATTCGCTTTCGGTGCATACCAACATTGGTTAGTGTAATGATCTCCACCACATATTGAACAAAGGGACGGCATATCATAGGTATTTTGGAGGTATTCGCCAGACGGAAGCCATTCATATCCCGTTTGAGGTGCGTGAAAATTGTAACCTGACATGTAACCAAAGAAAAAAAAAATATATTAAAAAAAATTAAAACGAAAAGATAAAAAAAAATTGGGTGAATCGTGAAAATTGTTCAAATTTAGAACTAGAATGAAATAAATAATTAAAATATTCCCCGGCAACGGCGCCAAAAACTTGTTGGTCGAAAACCTACACGCAAGTGCACGTATCGTACAAGTAATATAGTGGACAAAAAGTCCGGATATCGAACCCACAGGGAATATTTAATTATCTAATCCTAGACGCTAAATCCTACCAATTATTATCAAGCCCACCCTACACAGTCGAATTTTTAGAGAGAATTAACTAGATTAAATTAAAAGGCAAATTAAAACGACAAAGCAAGAAAGCAAATTAAACACGAAGATTTATCAGAGTAAACGAGCCTAGGATTTTATTCTTCCCCCTATGTGATTATTACTCCCCCAATTCCTTCAATTATGCAAGCCATTAACCCGGATTATTAACCTGAGATGCTAAAATAATCATAACCCGCTTCCGCGTGTATTACAATTCTAATACTCTAGATTCAATTACTATATTCCTATGCAATTAATTCTAGAACAAAGCATTAAGCACAAATCTCAATAATGGCTACCTAAGAGATTAACTATATTCCTATGTTAATACCACAAAGGCTCTTCTACCACAGTTCTAATTATTAACCCGATCTTCCGATTCATGCGATTAACAATAACATAAAAGCGCATAAAGTGGCCAGTTTCATGAACTTAATAAAACAAGTAGAAGAAATAATCCGGAATTAAAACTTGCATAAAATCATAGAATTGGGTTCATAAATCCCACATAGGGTTCCAAATAAAATCCTAGAAATAAAGACTTAGCTACTCGTGATTCTTATAATAAAGAAAATAAAATAAATAAATAAGAAAAACTATGCTTGAGTCTTCGTTGCTCTTCGTTCCTCGCGATTTGTGGTGTAAAAATTTGGATCCCCAATTGTGTGCTTGGCTTGGTCTTATATAGGGTGAAGAACTTGGGGAAGAAGGCAGTTTCCTTGTGCAATTAAAATTCCTTTACTGCGCAATTTCGGAGTCTCGGACGGGGGTCTCACAATTTGCACTAAAACTGGGACGGGGGTCTCAGCTTTAAATCTTCAGAATTTTGATATTTTCACTTTTGACCCATATTTTCACCAAAATTGCAGTTTTGACCCCATACTTTTCCAATTCTTCAATTTGTACCTAAAATACAATAAATCAACTTTTTAAGCACCAATTATCGTTAAAACACACCAAAAGCTCAAATAAAAAGATATGATAAAGTGTAAAAATATACACTTAACAGTAGATTACCAGCTTAATAACCGATCCATCCGTCAAACCATTTTTGCGCAAATTTGAAAATCGTTGCCGACCCAACCTTTGTAGGTCGGTTTATGGTTGGCAACCGAATATTTGGTTCCGGAATGGGTCGGTTGATGGTTTATACCCGCCACCTAGTTCACTTAAAAAAATTCATATTTTTTAGTAAGAATATCCACATTTTGCGTAATGCCACGGTGCGATCATCATTTATCTGTTCAAAATAATTAATAACAATTGAATGAAAAAATATAATTAGGAAATTCAAAGTAATTTCAAATTAGTGGAGTTTTGTAGGCTTTTTGTTTAAGCTTGAGCATAAAGAAACTGGTGGAAATTTAGGTCAATTTTTTTTTTTCCTTTGTTGATTGTTTTTAAAATTTAAAATACTAATTATTTTGATAATTTCAATAACCGCTTAAAAAAACACGGCCTTTATTTTATATTTTTAATAAAATTTTAATAGTATAGATGGATCACCGATAATTATCGGTCAACCAACTTTTGATAATATGAAAAACCACCAACCGACTCATTATAGATGGGTTGGTTGAAATTTTCAGCCCGATCCAATGAATCGGTTAAAAATTGATTATTCGCCTCAAAATATGGTCGGTAATGAGTTAGTTGATGGATAAAAACCAACCCAGTCTCAGCCATATACATATATATATATTTTTTTAGAAAATTCAAGTCCATTACAAGGGGAAGTAAGGGAGGGTGGAATCTTCCAAATGAAAAGTCCATTTGGAAGTAAGGGAGGGGGGAATCTTCCAAATGGAATCGATCGAACTCGAATCGACAATGCAAATAAATTCAGAACATTGCTCAAGAAGGAGACACCATCGCCCTTTTGATTCCATATTTACCGTCATAATTATGAGTCTCGTGTGTAATAACATTTGACACTTAATTATGTCTTGATGTTGCATCAAAAAAAAAAATTATGTCTTGATGTTCGTTTTATCATTTATGAGTGTTATACTGTTATGTACATATTTCTTATGTATATTATTTTCGACATTCAATTTTCTAGTTATAATAGTTGCGTAGTTACTAATTACAATTACTTTGAGATGTGATCATTATTTTAATTTTATTTAATTTTATTCATTTATTTATTTTTGTTGAGGGTAGTTGTGATCATTTTTCTAAGAGAATTGATTCTGACATCCATTGTTCATTTTGATATTTGAGCTTTGGTCAACTTGAAATTGAGAAATAATTATTCTATATACATAACGCAGAACACGCTTGTAGCGAGGATAATTAATTAACTAGTTTTCCTTAATTTACAAGGAAATCTCATGAGAAATGATATATATGTATCAAATATGCAATGATTGGTTTACATTCTAAAATATAGCTGTCCTACGTAGGGGTGTAGTCGTGTAGATGAGTTGAGTCGGCTCGTGAGCTCGGACAAAAACTCGAACTCGAATTTGCATTTTTCGAACTTACGAGCTCGAGTTTTCTGACGAGTCAAGCCCGAGCTCATTCTTAGTTGTTCATGAACTCGCGAGCCGGCTCGCGATTTTTTTTTTTAATATAATTAATATAAAATTAAATAATAAATTAATATAAATAATAAAAAAATTACATGTCATTTATTTCAATTTGTTTATTATAATTTCAAATATAATTAAAATTCTAATACTTTTAAAAAAACACACAAAATTGGGTTCAAGCTCGCCAGACAGCCAAGCTCGGCTCGTTTACACCCCTAGTCTCACGATATAGTCTTATAGTTCCATTTTAAATTTTCGAAATTCCAAGATACAAAACGATTTTTACAATATATGTATACCGATGGCTCGATCCGTCAATGATATAATAATATGTTAAACCAAATACATACATATTTAACCCCGCAACATGTTGTTGGCACTTATATAGAGAAGGATGGTTTTCAAATTTCGTTTTAATGCTAATATACAGTTGCTAGCTAGTTGTTATATATAAATAAGGGCTCATATGGCTGCTGGCTGCTGGCTGCATATATCCGATTAATTTTAATTGGACAAGATTGACTAAATTTTATTGACTAGTTAATTAAACAGCAGTATTATATGTAATTTGTCTATAAAACCTTTTATTAACAAAAAATAATATATTGTTTTAAGGATAAATCAGTATTTTCTATGTTTGGTCATCCGCTACAAAATTAATTTCAGGATATGTTATAAATTTAATGAAATGGTAATATTTAACTGCGAGTTTTAACTTTTGTAACGGATTTGAATAAAAGTGAATCTAATCAACCAAATGTGTTATTAGTAACTGAACGAGCCCCTAAATAAATAATGCTAGTTGACTTTGATTTTTTAACACGTTCTAAAAGATATCAGATCTCAATCGAATAATCCAGTATTCTTTAATTTCTCGGCAGCAAAATCATGGTTCAAGTGGCAATACTCTAATAAATTATACCAGGAATATATTATAATATAATATAATGATGTGGATGCTTAATTTAATTGGAATTTAATAAGTAATGATTTAGAGGCTACCTGGCTAAATTTATTGAACATATGGGGTGATTTTTGAAACTTATTAAGGATCTTGAATTTAATTTTACATATTTAGTTGACTATTTGACTTTATTTTTTTAAGGTTCCCACTAGTGAAAATAATTGGAAGTTGAAAGAGTAATTAGTAGGTTTAGAAAGCAACTCCCAAGCAACCAGAAAAAAAATTAAATAAACCAAAAAAAAAAAAAAAGAAAAAAAGAAAAAAAAGAAATGATGCTTATAAATTCATGGGGTGCTTCATTGCATGCTTAGCGCAGTTCTTCATGTAAGAAAACTTGTTACTTTTTAGTTTTCTGTTCATCTATTCTTTTTTATTTTTTATTGGAACTAAAGAAGTTGTAGGCAACTATATAGGTGTATTGGGTAAACTACACTTTCATATAGTAGCTTGTCTGTTCACCAGCTATATATATCATGCATCCTTGTTTTATGTTATATAATTTAGGCCAAATTACGGCCAACCCCTAAAGTAAGGCTAAATTATGTAACACCCCCTCTTATTTTAGTAATTACAATCACGTCCCTCAATTATGTATTTTCTTATGAAAAACTCCTCATTTAGTAGGTAAATTTGACACCGTAAGAGTGGAGGTGTAAGACAGCATAGTTGATGGGCTGGTTGTACTTATCCAAACAATAAGTTTGTTTTTTCTTTCTTTTTCTTTTTTCTCATTATCTAAGAGGTGGCCGTAATTTGCCCTATAATTTTTGGTAGCTAACAGTATTGTTTTGTTTATCATAATTGTGTTATTAATTTGTTGTTAATACTTAGATTAATCCGACGACGTAGACATGAATGCAGCAATTATGCTGGTGGTGATTCTAGTGCTTCTTTTCCTGAAGAAATTAGGGCTGTTCGGATCAACAGAAAAACTCCCACCGGGGCCCAACACATGGCAAGTTTTACGAAAAGTTTCCGAATTTAGAAAGCAACCGCATATCGCGTTTAGCAACTTAGCTAAAGTGTATGGTCCGATAATTTCGTTAAGGCTCGGCGGCCAATTCTTGATCGTTGCATCATCGGCCGCAACCGCCAAGGAAATCCTCAAGACTCAAGACCGGAATTTCTCCGGCAGGTTCTTGCCATTGGTGTACTACAAAATCCCATCGGCCGAACAGTCTTCGGTAGTCATGTCCAAAGAATGCAACGCCACCTGGAAATTTCTACGTGGGATGAGCCAAAACTTCATCTTCTCCAACAAATCCGTCGAGTCCACTGCCGGTTTGAGGAAATCCAAGGTGTTGGAGATGGTGGATTATTTGAGAAGCAAACGAGGCGAGATTGTGAATCTCGACAATTTAATGAATTCCACCGTTTCTAATATAATTAGTGACGTGTTGGTTTCGAGAAACGTTTTCGATATCACGAAAGAGGACGAAACTAATGACCATGAAAATATGAGGGCCCTTGTAAACGAAATTGTTGACATGGTTTCCTCTTCCGTAGGGTTGTCCGATTTATTTCCGTTCATGCGAATTTTAGATTTTTGTAGTAGAAAGAAAGCTATGGAAATTCACAAAAAATTGATGCATATGTGGGGAGATATGGTGAAGGAGAGAAGATCAGATAGAGTGCATGATGTCAATTATTCAGCTCGAGATTTCTTGGATGTTCTTATCGACAATTCACTTACCGATGATCAAATCTACGTCGTCTTCACGGTATAATATACATATATTATATAAATTAATTTACTTATTGTTGGTTATTATTTTTTTCCTTGTTTTTTTTCTCTTATGAATCGAAGCGACAAATGGCTGAATCTCAGCGGATCATGGCAGAATAACCAGTACTAGAGTTGCCGATGACAGTAATGTCGGTTGTTATTGATTTGACATTAATTAATGATTTCAGGAGCTACTAATAGCTGGAACAGATTCAAGCAGCATAACATTAGTATGGTTGATGGCAGAGTTGATAAAAAATCCCGACATTTTGCGCAAAGTTGTCGAAGAAGTTGCAAAGGCATTCGAAGGAGATCTGTTAATCGACGAAGCAATTTTAACCGAGTCTAAGTACTTACAAGCTTGTATAAAGGAAACACTAAGATTCCACATGCCGGGCCCATTCTTAGTGCCGCATCGTGCAATTGAGAAGTGCAAGATCCACGATTACGTAATCCCGAAGGATAGTGTAGTCCTGGTGAATACTTGGGACATTTCGCTGGATCCCAAATATTGGAAAGATGCTTCGAGTTTCAATCCCGACAGGTTTTTGACTGGCGACTCGAAAATTGATTTCAGAGGGGCCCACTTTGAATATACACCATTTGGCGCCGGAAGAAGAATGTGTCCTGGATTTAATTTGGCTTTCAAGAGCATTCAGATTGTGGTGGCATCTTTAGTGCATTATTTTGATTGGAGTCTTCCCAATGGAATGGATCCGACCCGAATTGACACGGATTCCGTATTTGGAACTGTGCTCAAGAAGAAGCAACCATTGCTTTTGATTCCGACTCCAAGAGATCGGAATAAAATGCGATAATCATTGCCGATTACGTAATTTGATTTTTCGTCTTCAATAATATAATCCTAGCTATTTATGTTTCTAGTATTTTTTAAAGATTGATTCTTTTTTGTAATGTTGATTATTTCACAAGTTAAATTCTACTTTAAAATTGCTTGAACTTCATAGGTGTTTGTAAAGTAAGCTCTATATAAGTTATGTTTAAGTCAACTTTCCAACTCTGACTTTCCCTTTTACATCAACAATCAGTCTCCGAAAAATGAGAAATAAGTTCCATCCGAAAGTTCCTCAGCAAATGGTCATCTGCAGAGCTATCCACATACAAGCCCTGCGCCTTCCCCAATTCCGGCACGGACATCAGATAATCCTCTATCAACCGTTATTGTGTCGAGTGGGATTTCGTTCGGGTTGATGGTGGGAATAACATTGTGGGAGTGGAATGGCTACACCGCCTTTGCGAATGAAAGGCGTAAAAGATTGGATAAACTGTGAGGACAATTTTTTTTTTTTTTTTTTTGTTGATTTGTTCACAAGTTAACGTAATTATATTACTGCCCGTTGATGGTAAAATCTATCTATCTATATATAATATAAAAAGAGGATCTATGCCATCAATGATTGACATGTGGCAAATGATGATGTCATTTGTCAAAATTGCTTAGTTGGAGTTCAATTGATGAGGTGGATTCTTCAATTGATTAGGTGGCATTTTTATTTATGGATGTTTTTAAGTTCTTTCCTATTTTACATTTACAGAATCATTTAATAATTACCACGTGTTATATACTATTTCCAAAGTTAATATTTTATAAATTCGAAATTTAAATTTTTTTTTATATATATCTTCAGTATTTCAAAATATATTTATTGAACAAAAATCATGAAACTCAATTTTTTTACGAATATTCAAATAATTTTCATAAAAAAAATATGTTTTTGAATACTAAAATATTAAAGGAATATGTTGTTGTTGTTGTTGTTTTTTTTTTCTTTTAAAGTTTCAATATTTTGGAATATTCGAATATCCATTCCATGAAAAATAATAATAAAAAAATATTTTATTTTTTAATTGAACTATTTAATAAATATACACTATTTTTTGTATATAGTTTTTATTATACCATATTTCAAATTAAAAATAATTATACTATTTAAGAAATATGCAATATTTATTAATTTTGAAAATTTAACAATTTAAATGCAGTATATTGTAACAATTTAAAGCATATTTGTTGTTTTCTAAATGTTTTGGGATCTCCAGCCCGCAATTGTTAGGACAAGAAATTGTTTTCTAAATGCAGTAGTTTGTTAGTATATTTTGCACTATTTAATATATAATATGTTTCGAATTATACACTAGATTATGCATTATATTTGTCAATTACTATTTGAATTAAAATATCAAATCACCAATACGAAGGAATCTTTAATATTCCAAGATTCTTTCATATCATCTTTGATTGATTTAATTTACACTTTAATTCAAAATTTAATGGTAAAAAATAAAAATCGTATCTTCATATTTAATGTTTCTATATTGCAAGATTTTTTTCCACAAGTTATTATTTTATTTTTTGGGTTGTTTCCTTTATTTGTTTGATTTGATTTCATTTACTAATATATAAATCTTTTGAATTTTTAATTTTTTCATAGAATTAAGTTCATTTTCAATACTATATATAAACCCCTCAATGTTCATTTCATTTTTATCTACCACCATTCGATTACAAAGTGCACAATGTTCGTATTATACAGTTTCATATTATCTTTTATCATTTCTTATAGATTATTATAAGTATATATGCATAGTTTTATATTCATAATTATTTTTATATATACATATTAGTAATATTTGTATTTCTTTCTTTTGGGTTTTAATTTTAATATACTTTTTTAATTGTTTTCATGCAGTTTATTAAATAAAGTCATTCGTACTTTATGAAGATCAAGAAAATTGTTTGCGCTCATTCCAAACAATGTGTTCTTTGCAACGCGTATTTTGATCATATTTTCGATCCATGTATGTGTGCGTCTCATGTAGGGAATCAATCAAAGTCGTTCCACGCTCTGGATCTTACATCGTATGTGGGATGACTGAAATGGAAGATTTCAAATCTTTCTTTTGTTGTCATGTATAACTTTCATACGTCCAGTTATCTCGGTAGCTTCATTTTCTATTTATGTCATATGTCAATCAATACATATTACAAATCAATTATATTATATAGATTTTATAGAGATAATTTCCATATTTCTATGATCCTTACACCACATTCTAAACACTATAAATACTCTATTCTTTTCACTCATTTTTTCCCATCGTGAGCTCATACCTCACCGAAATATTTTTGTTTGCTTTGTTTTCATGTCCTATTCCACCAATTTTTTTGTCCATTCCAATATTTATTTGCTCTTGATACAATTTTTAATTGTATTTCATTGGTATTTTATTTTTCTTGATATTCTTTTTTAATTATTAGTCTTTATTATTTTTAAACCATTAAATTTCTTCTTTTTCTTTGTGTTTTCTTTTTCCTTCTTTCTTATTTTTCTCGAAAAACATATTGTGGTTTGTAAATATTCTGATATTACATCGTTACTATTTTTATTGTTATTAAGTGTTTTTGGTTCTTATTTTTGTTTACATGCTATTATTATTATTCTTTTTTTTCAATGTTATTTATTGTTATAATCTTTTTATGTTATTCTTTTATGTAGTTTGACTAATTTTCAGTAATCCATTTACGATACCATTCAATATAGCTTTTTTAGTTTAGTTATTTTATATTAATATTTAATATTATTTACTTATTTTTATTAAGTATAATGTTATAAATTATTCTTTAAACTTAACAAATGTACCATTTAATATATATGGTTTGAGTGTCAAAATTCTAATTTATTGAGGTTTTTCTCCAATATAAATTCTTTAATTAAAGCAGAAGTATGGAAATTAATCCTTAATCACATCAAAATAAATAGGGATTTTGAGTTATGTATTTGTTTCAGCTTTTGATTTTTTTTGAGCAAATTCAAATTATGTTACAATGGGAAAAGAAGGAAGGGGGAGGATTTGATTCCTACAATTAATATCTTAATATTTTGTTTCATTAACACTTCAACAGTTGGATTCTATGTTCTAGAAATATCACTTCCTACCTTTTTACAACCATTATCCAATATTTATTATAGGTATTCTACATATTTTATAGAAAATAAATCAAATTTCCCATGTGTATAACCGCATATCAAGCATATTTTCTTTTATGAGCTCAATCGATATAAATGTTTTTTGAATGGTATTATGAACAAAAAATTAAGGATTTAAAACTTTCTAAAAATGTTTATTAAATTTGTACGTCAATATCAACTTAAGAACATCTATATTGTATACAAAGTCAAGATTTACAATTGAGTTCACATTTTTTATTTTCGCCCCACAACTTTCAGTTATATTCAATTGGATTTTCTTATTTAATTTAAGTAACATTTGTACATTTTTTTTTATTCCATCTTCCCTTTGTTGCTTTAGTTGAAATTTTCTTTATTTATAAATTACTTATTTCATAAAATCTGTGATTTTGAATTCGTGAGTAAATTTTCTTTATTGTATTTGAAAAAATGAAATTTTCGGTTTCATAAAATCCGTGATTTTGATTAATTTGTTCCATAAGTATCATTACATATAAATACAAAAATGAGTTTATTTTCTCAAATATTTATTATTAAGTTTCCTCCATAATGAATTTAAAAAATTATTAGTTTTTAAATATCGAATATTAATGTTGCCTCGAGCGATATTGCTTCATTGCTCTTTCCGGGTGGTAGAACAGCACATTCTAGATTTGGACTCCCGATAATTGTGCATGAGAGCTCCACTTGCAGTATCAAACAACAAAGTCCTCAAGCAGAGCTGTTGATTGAAGCAAAGCTTATTATATGGGATGAGGCCCCGATGATACATATGTTTTGTTTTGAAGCATTAGACAGAACCATGCGATCGATTTTGAATTCTGAAAAACCTTTTGGTGGTAAGGTTATCGTACTTGGTGGTGACTTTAGACAGATATTGTCTGTTGTACTTAAAGCATCGAGGCAAGACATCGTACATGCTACGATCAATTCATCACCATTGTGGAGAGAATGTCGTGTCATGAGGTTGCATAAAAATACGAGGCTTCAGTTGAATGCATCTTCATCTAACGAAGATGAAATAAGGGAATTTGCATAATGAATTCTGAGAATTGGAAACGGAGAAGCTGGAGACTACAATGATGGTGAGGCCTCGATTGAAATTCCTGAGGACATGCTGATTCGAGAATTCGATGATGCTTTATCAGAGCTACTGCAGTTTGTGTATCCGGATTTGTTGAATAACATTGCCAATCCTGATTTCTTTCAAGGGAAGGTCATTCTGGGTCCTACAAATGAGAGTGTTATATATGTGAACGATATCTGTCGTCACTTATTGAAGAAGAAGAAAAGGTTTACCTGAGCTCTGACAGTCTGTGCATGGACGAAGCAAGTTCCGAGATTAATGCAGAAATTTATTCCACCGAATTTCTCGATACAATATCGTGCTCCGGTCTGCCGCCACATGAGCTAAAATTAAAGAAAGGACTTCCCGTCATGCTCATTAGGAATATCGATCAACCAAGAGGTTTGTGCAATGGAACTCGTCTCCAAGTTGAAAGGCTGGGCATGCATGTAATTAGTTGCAAAGTATTATCCGGTAAGAATGTTGGCTACATGGTATTTATTCCTCGGATGACTTTGATACCTTCGAATTCCACATTGCCAGTTATATTTCAAAGACGTCAGTATCCGGTAATTATATCATTTGCCATGACAATCAACAAAAGTCAATGGCAAACTCTCTCGCACGTTGGATTGTACCTTCCAAGGCCTGTTTTCAGTCACGGTCAATAGTACGTAGCGTTGTCTCGGGTGAAGAGTAGATCTGGAATAAAGATTTTAATAAAGGGCGAAGCCGGTGAGTTGTCCAGTGTTACTAGCAA